CCCCCCCCACACACACACACACACACACATATATATATATATATATTATATTTGAGAAAATAATGCTGTCAATGAATTAATGTATAGAGTGAATGTTTAGATTTTGAAAGTTCATTGGGTCCCAAATTAAACTAAGATTAGAGATGAAAATTTTAGCTGATTACGGTTGGTATCCATGGGTATCAACCCTAATGGAGCGGGATTCTTCGGTTTAAGGTTACGGGGCGGAATTTCTCAGTTTGATGGGTAATTGGGCAGGAACGGAGATTTATTTTCATACCTAAAATGGGATCAGAATGGGGTTGGGGATGACATTACCTATCCCTAGTTTGACATTGATTAATTTTTTTATTTTATTTAATATATGTATATAATGTGTGTATAACTAAATATATATATATGCATATATTTATTATCAAATGACAAATATATTTGATTTCCAATTTTGGTACTTAGTATAATGATAATTCATTATAATTTTAATTTAAAATACATTGTTTTTTTACTAAACGGGCACCCACCGGGTTCCTCGAACGTGTCAGGGATTAGCCAGGAGGGACGGAGACCGGGGGGGGGGGGGTTAAACGAGGGTCGGGGTCGGAAATGAGGGATGCATTACCACTGTCCCGGTTTCCATCATAATAAAGATGTAAATGTTATTCGCAAATAAAGACATTACATGACTTCTGTGACACCTTAAAAATGTTGGGCACAAAATGAAAATTAGAAAGTATAAGGGAAATAGTTGTCAAGTACTTAAAGATGAGAAGTCAAGGGTTGAAATATAGGTAGCTCAAGTTAGAGGGGTCTGTTTTGCAATTTTGGAAACTTTGAATTTCTAAGTAATTAAAGTGTCATTTAATGGAGATTTTAGTTACATGCAATTATGAACCGAACTAATGGAAGAGACTTTTGGGCTATCCAATAGTGACCGTTTTACTTGGGAAATTCGAGTATAAATACGTAAGAGTGTGAGACAAATGGGTCGTTTATCAAACCATTATCTGGGTAAACGCTTATTAAGTAACATTGTCTTACCATTTGAATAT